TGCTGTTGTTGGTGTTGCTGCTGTTGTAGTTGTAGTAGTTGTAGAAGATGTAGTTGTAGTATTAGTAGTAGTAGTAGTAGTAGCAGCAGCAGCAGCAGCAGTAGCAGTAGTAGTAGAAGAAGTAGCAGCAGTAGCGGCAGCAATCGCAGCAGCCTGCAGTCGTCGTCGCAGTAGCTGCAGCAGTATGAGAAGATTACGTGATTGCCTGCTAGGAGTATACGATTGGCTGGGGCTGACTGGCAGCTTGGCTTTACTTGTCCCATCGTTCGTAGTCCGCTTCTGGCATCTATTTGTGGCTTTTGTGGCTTGACCTTTCAATGCCAATATCTTCCCGCGTGACAATCTTTGCACTACCTCCCGAGTGGTGTTCATCACGCCAAGTAGCTGCCAGTCTGCCAGACCCAGGTCTGAGATGTGCCTGGAGTCAGATTTAGGCTTTAGACTTTGCGGTTGCAGATGTGGGCGCTGGTCGTTTCGAGTTCAGGCTGCACGTGGCAGACCCTGCTGACACGTCCTCTCAAAGCACGACGAAGGAAATTCAGAACGTTGCTGCCAAGGGATCTCGGGGCGACGTCGAAGCCAGAACAAACAAAGCGGTAGCGCCCCAATTGCAAGCATCCATGCCAAAACTGCTTTCCAGGACACAAGAATCCCAGTGGTGTGGCAAAGAGCGACAATGCCTGGCAGTCACCGTCCAAGTGACTTTCATGGTCTTCAGATATCTTGTGGAAGGCGAAAAACGCCTTTCTGAGCTCCTACAGATCCCTGAAGAGTTGCCTTAAAGTCGGAGAGAGTCAATCCAAGCCTTGGCCGCAGGCTTGGCACAGCTTGGCCACGGAGTCTCAGCCCAGCGCCTCACCGGGCCTGGCCAGCGAGGCTTTCCACCTACTCGAGTCGAGTCTCAGCCCTGTGTGCAGCTTCCGACAGACAGGGCTTCTCAACTGGAATATCTCGGCATCGAACACATCATATGCAGTGGAAATTCATTGAGCACCGACTGTAAGTGGCATCGCGTAGACTATGCCATGCTGGCATTGGTATACGGCACCTAACACAGAGTTCGGTTCGCATGGCACAAACTATGTCCAACGGAATGAAATACAGAACATAATCCTACTGCGAAAACAAAGTAAGTCGACATGGGTGTACAAGACATCGCGTGAGGCTTAAGTCTTAAGCCAATGCGATGCCACATGGTGGGCCTCACACAGGTGAACTCCACAAACATAGATGGCATGGCATGGGTTGAATGCAGTATCATACTGCGATGCATACTGGAAGACTGCACAGTTCCTCGGTATCTGCATGTGTATCAGCACACGTTTATTTCACAATTCCTGGCGACCAGCCCAAACTGCGAAGTCATAGCATCTAGGCCAACTTGCTCGTCACCGGGATTAGACAAGTTGCCAATTGCCAACTCGTCCGCGCTGGACGGGGTCAGCAGCAGCTCCTCAAGTTGACAGCAGATCGGATATCCCACAAGGAGCAAAAAATCTGACCTACGAAGTCAAAGCAGCCCGAGTTTTTGGGATTGGTTCCAAAAGGCTCTCCTTGAAGTCGCACGGCAGTGCCTGTGCTCGGGAGGCTACCTCACCAGGACGCAGGCAAATCGGTCCAGGTGCGAGCACGCGACCGATCTGCCCTCCCGATAAAGCATGGTTAACGTCCGAAGAGCTGAGGTGTTCTCGGGGCTTATCTCCACCGCCACTTCGAGGAACTGCCGGCATGCATCGGAGTCGTCTTTGAACTCAAAGGCTCGCCGTAAGTAGTAGTCCTTGGACTTGTGACAGGCGTGTACGCGAAACTGGTCGTTGCGACATCTCGCGACACTCAACTTGGATCTTGCGTGGCTTTCTGCCTGTTTCTGTTTGTATGCAAGATTACACAGATGCTCGACGTACTGTAGTGTCCACATGCATAAATGTCACTTGTCTGGTTACATGAACCCATGAGTCAGTGGTGCTTCTTTTCCGGGCAAGTTCTGTCAGAGCAGATCCTGCAGCGAACCTGCACTTTTGCTGTCTCAGATTCGCTCCGGGCTGCAGCATAAGCCTGCCACGTGGGTTCTGCAGGGGCCAAATGCATTCCGAAAATATAGCTCATAGGCTCCTGTGCACCCTAATTCCACGAAGCCATGACCCTCCTTGGCTCTCAAATCTTAGCCTGCCGGTAGTAGAACTTGTCCACATCCGACTCCTGACAAGGGCGAAATGTTCGACAATGGGTTCTGAACAACTCTGCCATCTTGGACCACGTACCCGATCTACACTGGCACTTTTTCCAGAGGGCAACTGCTCAATCAACAACTCTCAACGCGAAGACGGGGACATTACAAAATGGTCTTGCAGATGAGGTGTCCCATTTGATTCTGCAGGTCTGCACCTGGCCCTGGCAAAGGAGGAAGCCAGCCAGCAGCCAGGAGGGCACCATTGCTCGAAGGAGCCGTGGAAGTCCGGGCTAGCCGAACTGCGGCTTACATTCGGGTGCGGGATCAGGGCAGCCTCACGTGCAAGATGAAACTGTGACTACTCATGTGCCTACTTCTTGTGCTTTGTTGCTGTTGCTGTGGCTTTCACTCGGGCTCAAAGAATTCCTTGCCCAAGTCTGGCAGCTCTTCTTCGAGGGGTCTGATATGCCCTGATAACAGTGATCATGACTTTGAGGGTGATTGTGATGATGAAGACGGTGGTGGTGGTGATGGTGGTTCAGGGAACATGAGTTGCAGAGTGAGGTGGCTGCAGGATGCACACAACTGTCAGTGTTCTGCACTACAGCTGCTGCATTGCTACAGACCTTGATTTGCTCTGTTACGCTGTCAATGTCTTCACGCTCAATGGCCGTCTGACCCACCCCTGCGACACCTCGGTTCTGTGCTTCGCCAGCTCAGTCTCGTAGCCTGCACGAGGGAACCCCAGCTCCAGAAAGTCATGCCCAAGAAAGGCCGAACGGACTCTGACTCTGACTCTGACCGCAAGCGCCGCAAAGCTGGGAACCCGGCCTGCGCGCTGGGCAGCCTGGGTTGCCACAGAGTCACAGATGGGAACCGAAGAACTAAAGGCGACAATCGGCCAGAAAGTGACTCTCAGACTATCATGCCTTCACCCTGCAAGGAGCAAGTTGCGGGAGCACACCATCGCTACAGAAATGGGGGACAATCCCCAGGCCGAGTCGCCAGGATCTCTTCCAGCTTCGCTTGCTCATTCAAAAGGGCTTCCTGCCACAGAATCCAAGTACCGCTTGAGATCAGATCAGGCTATTGAGTTGACATACCAAATGTTGACCTCTCCCGGGACTCCCGAGATTGTGAAAATTCGGCTCAACAGACGTTGGCGTGGCTTTCCCACCTCCATCTTTCTATCCGCAGCCGCCGTTTTCGCATCTTGCTTCCAGCCCATGAAGACAGTCACCAGGACCTGAGCAGAAGTGAATGGCACTGCCTAGACCTTCCAGACCTTTGCGCCATCCATCCTTGTCAGAATCTCCGCGAGGATGTCGAATGCAAAGCAGGTTGAAAACGTCTGGATGGATGCCACGAGCTAGGACATAGCAACGAACAGCGAGGAGTGCAGATATGAGCACAAGAGGTTTTCAAGCCGTTGAGAATGACTTTCGAAGACGTGCAATCGTCTTTCTGCCGGCGTCGCTCGAAGAGAAGATCGAGGTCCAACATGCTCGAAGCTTGGGCAGGGACTCCCTTGG